GTGCAAGATCAGGGGCAATGCTCATGTTTTGCAAACTCCTGCTGAAAGGTCTTTCCATTCATTGAGGCTTAATGTTCAGGTTTTTGTGGTTGCCATCCAGGGAACCTCAGGTGACCAATAAAATTTTGGTCTTATAGATATGCTGTTACTTGCACTGAGACCATTTTATCAGCAGGCTAAATTAAACCTCCTCTTACGCATCTCTAAGAAGTACTTCTACCTATGGAGTTAGTTACTAACACTCAAGGGTATGCATACACTCAATCACAGCTGCCATAAAAGACGGGTATATGTCTTGCTCTACAAACATGATGCATCCCCTGAAAGTATTCCAGAGGCTTGAAAAGGCAGTGGAAGACGGAGGGTAGATCACCTAGTGAAAGGCAATAGTCTTTCTTGTAGGGTAAGAAAAGAAAAGACATAGTAGTCTTGCTGCAGGAATTTAGGGAAGGGAGTTTAGAAGGGAATCAAGTCCACAAGAGGCTTGTTGTTCTAAAATGTAAGATGATTTGTGAGCAGTTGAGAAATACCCACAAGGATGGCCTGAAAAGGAAGACAGCACAACAGCAGACAGGTATTCTGCCTGCAAACAGCTGATGGAGCTATGGTGTGCCTCTTAGAATGATTGCTGCTCTAAGCTATTTTTGTGTATTTGGCAGAAACCTTTACATTATAAATGTAATCTATTTGAGCTACTATGTTTAGTGTGTGATGTGGATTTGCTAAATTTCTCTCAAATCACTAGTTAAGAAATGCAACGAACTATGGGCCTTTATCTGCTACGTTCAGAATGGCCTAACAGGAGGAGTTAGCTGATGTGCTAAACAAGAGCTGATGCATGTAGCAAGGGATGTCAATAGTGCAGGCTGCGAAATTAACTGAAAAGCAATCTAAAAGTGCAAATTAATGATTAAGGATAGAAAACTCACCAGATTTAGCTCTCATGGGATATCTGGCTAGAGTAGGACTAGAATTTCAAGCCAAGAATGCACTTAGTGTCTCAACTGATAGTTCAGAGCTTTTGACTACAAATCACCAGGGATTAGAAATTCTGTGAAAAAAAATAAAACAAAAAATTTGGACTCAAAGGTTGGTCTGTAAAAAAAACAAGTGTCTTCCTTGAGACATTAACAGAGAGCAGAAGGTAACACTAAGATGTTGCATGTTCTGATTTCTGCCATTCACTGCTCTCCCATAGTGCTACTAGTGGCTAAATTGCAATTTCCCTTCCACTAATGTTTGCTTCTCAATTTTCAAAGCTTTTTTTCTCTTCAGTATTGGTAGGAACCCTCTCTTTGGAGCTGCATGAATCTCCAAGAGCGCAACTACCAGTAGATGGCTGTGAATACACTTAGAGAAAACTCGCAGAAGTTGCTCAAAAGGGGATCCAGACATTATTTTATTAGTTCTGGATATCCCCAGAGAACTGGATGCTTGATTATGAAGTGCCACAGCTTGGTCATTTAGAGATTTGTCTCTAGAAAATCTTGCCTTCCAGATTAATGGGGGAAATAGAACCAGGGAGTAATATATACTATTTCCTCTTTCTGTTTATTATTTTAGCATTGAGTTAAAGATAAATCTTTTACAGGCTAAAAGAATATTATAACAAAGATATCTATTTTATCTCTATAGGTAAATCTTTAAAATTATTTGACCTTTTATTTGCTAGGCAATTTTGTTAAACAAGCACATCAAGGCCAAGGCCATAATTACTTTACAACCAGCCTTCAGACAGTCACTTCCAGAGCCTGTCAGTCAACTTGCTCTGTATAGAGCAAGAGGGTAAAGCAGCCAGAGCTGCAGGGACCCAGCCAGCGCTCTCCAGCCACGGAAATAAAGTCCTGGTATCACAGGGCTTATTTTCTAAGCATCTGAGATGTTCAGAAATACTAGGGCTGGCTGTATCTGCAGAAGGCACCGAACGTGTGTGTACAAACACTGCTCCCTGTGCAGAGCATGAGCGCCTTCCACAGGGTTGCCCTGGAGGTTCCTCTCCTAACTCTCCTTCAAAGAAATATTGACCTGTACTTTATAACTAATGGCAAGGCACAGCTGTGCCCCCAATAGGCAAGATTTTGATCTAAAGTGTTATTACTTTGTGTTCTTCACTTGAGTTTGCTGCTGTAATAGCTCTTTTAACTTGCATGCTGACCAATGTCTCCAAGAGAAGTAAATTATAGAACATTTGGGCTCTCGGCCCAGCTGCAAGGGGATGTAAAACGCTTCATGGATATTAAAACCTGCAAGACCAGCCTCTGTTTTGCCTCTCTAGTGATGCAAGACTATTGGATCTAAGCCTGGTAACTATGTTGGTGATGGTCAATCCTTGCTGACATCTGAGAAAGGGAATGTTAGTCTGGGAATGTAAACGGCACCTCCAAATAATGCAGCACCTCTCAGGAACTGCATTTCTGTGCCAGAAATGGCAAGCAGCCCAGTTCTTCTGCAGCCTTACAGCACTGACAGTCTTCTGGCTGGCACAATACAGTCAACCAAATCAGTCAGCAACAGCGAGCACACTCTAAAGTGAATGCTTGGGCACTGCAAAGCCAAAAAAAAAAAAAAAAAAAACCTTCTGAGGGAGGAGAGTAGGGGGGAATATCCCAAATATTTCTGTCAGTTTATATGCCGTGTGTGTGTAGATTTGTATATGTGCATATACATATATTTATTGTGGGGTTGCAATTATTAATTACTGCCAGAGTAAGTTGTACAGAATTCACATTTTGGAGTAGGTGGTTAGCTGGGCTGTTGATGAATTCTCATGCTTCCCGCTTAACTGCAATAAGAGTACCCAAAGAGCAGGAGCTGACAGAATCCTTAACTTTCAAAAACCAAGCTTTTAAGCTGAACCTATAAACTGAGCCTGTGAAACAGGTTTGGCTTTTGGCAGTCAAAATGGCCCAGCAAGCACAAAACTAGAGTTTCTGCAGTACTACATGCCTGTTTCCTGTATTTTGCAAATTTAAAACACAAGTAGAAGTGCTGCTCTAAAGCAAGTGCCAAGAAGCTACCTTAGTAGCAGCAAAACAGAGATCCTGTCCCTAATGGTTTGCCTCTACTACCAGCTTTTCCATCAAAGAGCTTTATTAGAAAATGTCAGCATTTGTCTTTTCCAAGTGACTCCCAGTACATACAGCTACAAGAATCAACTACTTGTTGTGTTCGTTACACAACACCAAGCAGCAGGATAAAGCACTAGTAAGTAATGAGAATGTATGTTACAGAACAGCATATATATTAGTTGTATTTAGAGGTCCAGAGTGGTGATCTCCAACAGATTTCAAAAGGTTTCCATTTGCAGCTGCCTGGAGAACACAAGAGCTAAACACATGTTGCTTTGTTGCTGCTATGTAAAATATACAGCAAAAAAGCAGAACCAACTCTTCCAGGATCTAATATCCTGGGGAAACTTGCTGTCTGGAAAACAACTGCAACCCCCGCAATGTCACAAAACCTCAGATATGAAAATTATGTAGAGAAAAATTACCTAACTGGCACTGCATTGTTTTCTGCATCTCATTTTCCCAATATTTTTGTCTTAAAGTTACAGATCTAGGCAATAGGACTTACTAACCTGGATAAAATCTTCCTTACACTTGACAGATGTCTCATTGGCAGCACACTCTTCTTTTGCTCTAACCATCCTGTTCAATTCTCAGTCTCAGGACATTACTCCTAGAGCAGTTCTTTGCCTTTGTAGTACCCTAAGTAATTCATATTCCTCCTTAGTATTTACAATTTTCAAATATTTTTAGACTTCCTTCTGCTGGGCATCTCTGTCAAACTAATATACACATGCTTGCCCTCTTTCCTTAAATAACAACCAAGCATGCCTGATGGTTGTTTTTTGCATTTACCTTTTCCTCTAACTTGGCAACCTCTAAATAAGGTGTCTGTACCCTTGATGTTGAAAGCTCAAAATAAATGAGAGAGGGGAGGGGAATAGAAGTTAACAAGTGATATTTTGTTTCATCAAAAGCTTCAATGAGGATGTTGATGAAGAACCTCTCCCCCTCAAGGTTTAAATTATTTGGAATTAACTGATTGTCAGTTCTGTTTGCACTTTCATCATAGGATATGGGCTGCTAATTTTTTTTTTTTGTATTCTGTTTGTATTCTGCCCTCAAACTCTTTAGCTGCAAGACTAATCATGATGTTGGATTTAGATGCAACACTACTTTGTAAGTGAAGCAACTTTCCCATAAGTAAAATGTAGATAAAGCCATTTATTTATGAAGCTTATAAGAATCTGTGACCTTTGAAGGAATGCTAACTTAAAAATATATTCACAGATGCTAAAAGTAATAACAGTTTGTATATAAAACCAAACCATAGCTTAGAATTAGTTATAGGTTATTTTGTAGATTGACTTACCCTCTGCTATAATTATAACCTTTCCCAGAAACAAACAAAAAAAAATCCAAGAACAGTGTACACAAGCAACTTGGAAGTGACAAGTGACAACATTAAAGTTTAATAGCAGTATTAAAATAGGAACTGGAAGAATGAAAATCTAGATAGAGGACATGAGCAAAACAGATGCACTAATTTCAGGTTTTATTCCTACTAAAAACAGGAACTAAACCCATAGATGTTTCTTTTGTTCATGCCTTATAAAATAAGTTCGAGAACTTTTCCTATGAGAGAAATGAAAGCAAGGGAGTTTTTTTTTTTTTTTTTTTTAAGCCACCATTTGATACATCCGGTTCATCACCTCTTGTCTTGGCAATAAAAGCATTAAAGCCTGAATTTAAGACAAGAATTTCTAAAGAGACTGTTGACAAATAGTAAATTGTAGGAAATGCATCTGTTTTTGCAAAACTCAGGCAAATGATATCTGTATTTTTTACCGTTCTCAACGCTGGCATCTAACAGTTTTGTGTGTTTTAAAATACCCAGAAATTTGGCTAAGCCAATTTATTAACTGTATTATTGTCTTCTGAATGATGAGCCCCAAGTATTTAATTTGCAAAAGGAAATGCGTGTTCACTTACATGATTTCTTTTGTTTTCTCCATCTCTTATAGATGTAATAACAACCTCAGAATAAACTGTTGATCCAGTTTTGTTATCTGTAACCTAGCAAGAGAGGAAATAAATCAAACTGTGATAACATATTAGTCCTTAGGGCTGAGAGTAACAGTGCTCTTCAATAGCATTTCTCTCCTTTGCCACCACCTCCCACTTTCTTGGCCCAAAGATAAAAACATCTTGGGGGAGAGGGAGATAGTGATAGTTAAATGAGCAGATGATGGGCATTGTTTTTGCTCCATATAATGACAATACCCATGCTCCATTTTTAGCATATGTTTCTTTTCAGAGTACACATTATTGGTAGTAGTAGTTTAGCTAAATTATTTCCCATTACCTTTACTGCATATGCTGCTACACAGTGATCAGGCAAGCAAATCAGACACATCTAAACCCCAAGAAATCACCACCACCCAAGGAAGCTAACACTCAGGTTCTAGTACTTATCCCCCGAGGCGGCAGGATTGTTCTTACTTTTAAAGAACAAGTTGTGTAGGAACCAGCAGCTTCCTGTTTTCTCCTACCTTATCAATTTCTTGGTGAGTCTGAACAGTCTTATTGCCAATTTTGGTTTCTGTGTCGGACTCATTATGGTAGGTGGGAGGTAAGTTTTCAAACTTTACTTCGGACAGCTTTTTTGCCCCTTCCTCTTCAGCTTCCATCTGGCAAATTTAAATAAATCAACTGAAAGTCAGCAATGATTAGGCAAAACAGAAGTAGTAACTTCTCATCCGGTCCCTAGTCATAGCCTGTTTAATTATATGATGTTATTAGTATAGATCCCCACTGTATAGGAACATGTACTCTGCTGTGCAGAGAGTGGCCACGGCAGCTTCAAATGGACTGGAGGAAACACTGAAGAGCTAAACCCTTGAGCTCTGGACTCATGTAGGCAGCGAGGAAAATGTTTGCTGAGAAAACAAACCAAACACTTAGGACAGATTTTCCCATCCAGCAACGCAGAGAGGAAACACCCTGGCAGGACAAAGAGCCGTAGCCAGAGGCCCCCGACCCTCACGGCAGGATCGGGGCATGTGCACCCAGATGTGCTCTATCCAGATGTGCTCCTCCATCTCCACGGCCGGAGGGAGGCTTCCCACAGAAAGGACAAGCAGATCAAAGAACAAGCATGGCTAAAGGGTCCCAGTCCTGCAAACAATGACAACTCCAAGGAAGTTTGGTCCCTTTTATCATTTGCAATCCCAACAATGTGGCTGGGAGGCTGCAACTTCAGCCAGCCTGAACAGCAGAATTTTTTTCCCAGCACAAAATTGCTTCCTTTTGGTGTGTCTGCTTGTATTAAATGACAGCTGCAAACTCTTTAAAGTTTGAAGCGTTTATCTGCTGTCACGCAGCTCCGACACTCCCCATTTCGTGCCATAAACAGGCCAGGCCTGAATCCAGAATAAACAAGGACTATGGGAGAGTAAAATCAACAGAAATGTTAACTACATCCTTATTGAGCTTATTTTTGATATTGCAAAGCCTACTTTAATACAAGACATGGGTCGTCCCAATGTGTTTATAGCCTAAATGAAATGGAGGGGAGGGACAGAACAGAGTAATTGTCCAGATGACAAAAGAACTTTAGAAAGAATCTAATTGAAAGGGACAGTGCTTTGTTTCCCTAATGGATTAGCTGTAAAATGTTTCTTTTTTTTTCTTTTTTTTTTATCCTCACAGACAGCTCGCAGACAGAATTAAAAGATTTTTAAGAAGGTGATATATATATACATGCATGTATATATTTTAAAAAGCTCACAAACGTGAGGTGCTGGGGAGGAAGGCCTTTTGCTGGGGACAGAAGATAACGGCTCAGGATGCAGATATTGCTCCTCCTGGCATTGAAACGGGTCCTGCGACACTTGGGGCATGTAATTTGAGGTGGAGGCAGCGGATTATAGGACGCACAAGCCGCTTCCCTCCTTGTGGCCTCAGGACGGCCCCACCTCCCTGAATCCTGCCGTGGGCTGCGTCCCGTGCCTCGGTGCTGGCCCCGCAGCGGGGCTAAGGCACCGCTGGGGTCCCCGGGGCCGCAGCCCGGCCTGGCCGCCCCGCCGCGGAGCTCTGCGGCAGCCAGCAGCAACCGTAGCGGGAATAGCTGCGTGCGAGCCCGGGAAGGGGCTTTTCTTGAAAAAGAAAAAGAAAGAAAGGAAAAGAAACGAAGAGAGCACCAGGAAAGACAAAGCCCCAAGGGCACCCGGGCTGCCGCGGCGGCCGCGGGCGCTGACCGGCTGCGGCGGTTTAACGGTCGCGGGCGGCCGTTGGCGCCGCGGGGCCGCAGGTGCGGCGGCGCCTCGCTCACCTCCTGCACCGCGTTGCGCAGCTTGTGCTGCGTGTCCTCCATGAGCGCCTCCACCTCGCGCAGCATCTCGCCCAGGCTGGCCGCCCGCCGCCGGCCCGCGCCGCCCGCCGCCCCGCACCACAGCGCCGCGAGCAGCAGCGCC